CACGCCCCTCCCCCCGGGGCCCGGCACTCTCGCCGAAAATGCCTGGGCTTTTGGCAATTAAAGCAGTTCCCCTGAGGCTTCTGCCCCTTGTGGAGGGCAGCAGCCAATAGGGCCATTTGATGGGTTTGAGTGCCTACGTCCACGCACGCCTGCAGCAACTCCGCCAGGGTGTACCCCGGGCGCCCGACCACTGCCTGCATGGCACGGCGACAATCTGCATTGGCATTTTCGTAAACCAATTTGTTCATTAGCTCAGTTTGGGCCTCCGGGTTGTCGATCTGCCTTTGGACTGCCTCTTGGAGGCGGTCAATAAACTGGTGGAACGGTTCGGCGGCACCTTGCCGAGTAACCGCGAAGGACTTAGAGGACTCGCCCGCAGCGGGGACCCTGCGAAACGCCCGACGGACACACTGGCCGATAATGGGATATGCTGCCTGGGGCGTGCCCTCCGCCTGCTGGGGGATGCCCGAAAACTGCCCCGTGCCATATAACTGCTCAGCAAAATAGGCCCCCCCACCCTGTGCTGCCGCTGCAAGCGCCTCTCGCTGATACTTGCTATCCCTCACAACATACTGCGCGGTGGACAGCACCATGCGACACATATCCTTCCAATCTTGGGGGAGTAAGTAATAACCATTTGACACACCTTCCAAGATCCCCAGGGTGAAAGTGGACCGCACCCCGGTCTCGCGAACTGCCTTGCGGAGCTCGCGCAGAACCGAATAGGGGAGAGCCTGCCAATCCACGATCTGCCCCCCAGCTGGGGTAGGAGGGGGGCGGCCCATCACCTGGGGGCAAAAGGGAGACCGGCTTGGGACCGTCGGGGCCGACCCTCTCCAGCGCCTCCTTACAACGCTGCCAGAGCAGCAGGTGCTGAACCGGGGCACGGGGTTCACTATACAAGGTGGTCCCGATCCGTATCCAATCAGGAAGCCGTAACGACCCGCAGTCCGGATACCAGGGGCACTGGCGATCTATTTCCCTGAGAAGGTCCTCGATATGAGCGACCGAGACGACACATGATCGTTGCCGTATAATCTTTTGTAACTCCCTTGCGTGCTCCTTCTGGGCACTGGAAAGTCCCCCCCCCATACTCACGGATCAGGGGCGGCAAACGGCCGCGGAGGTGCACTCGGCGTATCCAGCCGGTGAGCAGGGGGGGATCACGTCGGGGTCACCAGATGTGGCGACGAAAAAGGAAGGAGACAGAGCGCCAGGTCTTGGTAGCCGAAAAGCCCCCCAGGGACTTTCCACTGGGGTTTTTATTCTCCTACTTCCATGTTTACAGCACTTATGAGTGGTTGAATTTTTGTGCATAGGAGGAGCGTACAGTGCACATCAACATGACCTCACAAACCCATATCTTGTGCACGTGAAAGCGAGCAGCGAGGGTGACGGTCAGGTCAGCCAATAAGTTTCCAATCGCAGGCGCTGGGGTATAGGCCGCTCCGGCCTCGTAGCCACGGGCGCAGTGTGCTGCACCCGTGGACTGACGATTCGGGAGCTATTCGTCCCTACACCTCCCTTGCTGCAGTTTAAGCCCATTGCTTCTTGTTCTATCCTTAGAGGCTAAGGTGAACAAGTTTTCTCCCTCCTCCTTATGACACCCTTTTAGATACCTGAAAACTGCTATCATGTCCCCTCTCAGTCTTCTCTTTTCCAAACTAAACAAACCCAATTCTTTCAGCCTTCCTTCATAGGTCATGTTCTCAAGATCTTTAATCATTCTTGTTGCTCTTCTCTGGACCCTTTCCAATTTCTCCACATCTTTCTTGAAATGCGGTGCCCAAAACTGGACACAATACTCCAGCTGAGGCCTAACCAGAGCAGAGTAGAGCGGAAGAATGACTTCTCTTGTCTTGCTCACAACACACCTGTTAATACATCCCAGAATCATGTTTGCTTTTTTTGCAACAGCATCACACTGTTGACTCATATTTAGCTTGTGGTCCACTATAACCCCTAGATCCCTTTCTGCCGTACTCCTTCCTAGACAGTCTCTTCCCATTCTGTATGTGTGAAACTGATTTTTTCTTCCTAAGTGGAGCACTTTGTATTTGTCTTTGTTAAACTTCATCCTGTTTAACTCAGACTATTTCTCCAATTTGTCCAGATCATTTTGAATTATGACCCTGTCCTCCAAAGCAGTTGCAATCCCTCCCAGTTTGGTATCATCCGCAAACTTAATAAGCGTACTTTCTATGCCAATATCTAAGTCGTTAATGAAGATATTGAACAGAGCCGGTCCCAAAACAGACCCCTGTGGAACCCCACTCGTTATGCCTTTCCAGCAAGATTGGAAACCATTAATAACAACTCTCTGAGTACGGTTATCCAGCCAGTTATGCACCCACCTTATAGCAGCCCCATCTAAATTGTATTTGCCTAGTTTATCGATAAGAATATCATGTGAGACCGTATCAAATGCCTTACTAAAGTCTAGGTATTCCACATCCACAGCTTCTCTCTTATCCACAAGACTCGTTATCCTATCGAAGAAAGCTATCAGATTGGTTTGACATGATTTGTTCTTTACAAATCCATGCTGGCTGTTCCTTATCACCTTACCACCTTCCAAGTGTTTGCAGATGATTTCCTTAATTACTTGCTCCATTATCTTCCCTGGCACAGAAGTTAAACTAACTGGTCTGTAGTTTCCTGGGTTGTTTTTATTTCCCTTTTTATAGATGGGCACTATATTTGCCCTTTTCCAGTCTTCTGGAATCTCTCCCGTCTCCCATGATTTTCCAAAGATAATAGCTAGAGGCTCAGATACCTCCTCTATTAGCTCCTTGAGTATTCTAGGATGCATTTCATCAGGCCCTGGTGACTTGCAGGCATCTAACTTTTCTAAGTGATTTTTAACTTGTTCTTTTTTTATTTTATCTGCTAAACCTACCCCCTTCCCATTAGCATTCACTACGTTAGGCATTCCTTCAGACTTCTCGGTGAAGACCGAAACAAAGAAGTCATTAAGCATCTCTGCCATTTCCAAGTTTCCTGTTACTGTTTCTCCCTCTTCACTAAGCAGTGGGCCTACCCTGTCTTTGGTCTTCCTCTTGCTTCTAATGTATTGATAAAAAGTCTTCTTGTTTCCCTTTATTCCCGTAGCTAGTTTGAGCTCATTTTGTGCCTTTGCCTTTCTAATCTTGCCCCTGCATTCCTGTGTTGTTTGCCTATATTCATCCTTTGTAATCTGTCCTAGTTTCCATTTTTTATATGACTCCTTTTTATTTTTTAGATCATGCAAGATCTCGTGGTTAAGCCAAGGTGGTCTTTTGCCACATTTTCTATCTTTCCTAACCAGCGGAATAGCTTGCTTTTGGCCCTTAATAGTGTCCCTTTGAAAAACTGACAACTCTCCTCAGTTGTTTTTCCCCTCAGTCTTGATTCCCATGGGACCTTACCTATCAGCTCTCTGAGCTTACCAAAATCCGCCTTCCTGAAATCCATTGTCTCTATTTTGCTGTTCTCCCTTCTACCCTTCCTTAGAATTGCAAACTCTATGATTTCATGATCACTTTCTCCCAAGCTGCCTTCTACTTTCAAATTCTCAACGAGTTCCTCCCTATTTGTTAAAATCAAGTCTAGAACAGCTTCCCCCCTAGTAGCTTTTTCAACCTTCTGAAATAAAAAGTTGTCTGCAATGCAGTCCAAGAATTTGTTGGATAGTCTGTGCCCCGCTGTGTTATTTTCCCAACATATATCCAGATAGTTGAAGTCCCCCATCACCACCAAATCTTGGGCTTTGGATGATTTTGTTAGTTGTTTAAAAAAAGCCTCATCCACCTCTTCCACCTGGTTAGGTGGCCTGTAGTAGACTCCTAGCATGACATCACCCTTGTTTTTTACCCCTTTTAGCCTAACCCAGAGACTCTCAACACTTCCATCTCCAATGTCCGTCTCTACCTCAGTCCAAGTGTGTACATTTTTAATATATAAGGCAACACCTCCTCCCTTTTTCCCCTGTCTATCCTTCCTGAGCAAGCTGTATCCATCCACACCAACATTCCAATCATGTGTATTATCCCACCAAGTTTCAGTGATGCCAACAATGTCATAGTTGTATTTATTTATTAGCACTTCCAGTTCTTCCTGATTATTACCCATACTTCTCGCATTTGTATATAGGCATCTAAGATACTTGTTTGATCTTTCCTCCCAATTTTGTCCTGACCCTCGTTTCTCTCTGCCAATATAGCCCACACTCCCTCTCGTTTTCGACCCATCTCCCAGGATGATTGTTTAGCTATCCTGAAGGATCTTGCATGCGGTTCTTTCTTTTGCTTTAAATTCATCTGCTTCTGATTGCTCTACGCACCGAGGAATGTGTTTGTTGGAGTAAAAAATCCAAAATGGAGGACAGTATAGCTACTGCAACTGATTAGGCTAGCTAGCTCTCAGTAGAATCGGAGCTTTGCAGTTCATACTTGCCATGCATTGTTCTTCATATTCACAGCAGAGGCTTTTTGGTGAATTCAGTTCTGTAGTGGACTTTAACATGCACTTAGTTTTGTTTAAAAAGAAAAAACAAAGGGAGTGGTGAAGTTCTCAGAGAAGGTTGAACAGCTGTCAAAGATCGCTGGTTGATAAGTTTATACACAGAGTGGGTAGACCAGAGGCAACAGCAGCATAAGTTCCCCTCCCCTCTCTGCTGGAAAAACCAGGAGTAAGCAAGTGGTTGTCTTCATGCCCATTCAGTCCTTTGTTTCTTGGTGGAAACTAGCAACTACGAAGCCAGTTATGATGTGGATTCCTTTTGACACCAACACCTTTCACAAGGACAACTGAATATCCATGAGAAGGTGGTGACTTTCAATAACTGCAAAAAAAAAAAATTAGTAAAAAATAAATTTAAAAGAATTTGAAAACGACTACCATTTTCACAGTAGAAGGCAGTGTAGGACTGAGATAATGGACACGGAAATAGATGTCTGCGTGTTGTTGCCATGTTAGTCCCAGGATATGAGAGAGAAGATGGGTGAGGTAAAATCTTTTATTGTACCAACTTCTGTTGGTGAAAGAGACAAGCTTTCAAGCTCCACAGAGCTCTTCTTCAGATCACCTCAGCTCTGTGGAGCTCTCTCTCATGAAAATAGATTACATTAATGCTCTAGAGTTAGGATTTGTTAAGTGAATTAGGAGCACTGTAATACTCAGTTATGCAATGTGGTTGGGGTTCAATAGTTTACAGACAGTCTATTGTTTCACATACTTGATGTGAATGTAGAGAGGAGCTATATCTTTTTATTTGACAACACTTGGACTTGTACATGCTAAATTGCTAAATTATTTGCACCCAAGACTAATCCAACAAAAGAAAAGGAAAAACCATCTTTCATGTGAACCTGTTGAAACCTGGAGGAAGTGGGAAAGTTTCCTTGTCAATCCAGACAAGATGCTAAATCTAGGTCCTGAGGTTCTAGGGCCTTTGGCACTGGATGAAATGGTTTCTTCTGAGAGCTTAACAGAACAACAAGCCCAAGAACTAATAAGTTTTCATCAGCCTCAGGAAAAACTATTTCCCATCATACTTGTACCAACCCAGAAGTAAAACCAGTAAGGAAGACTTCCTGGGTGCCAGAAAAAATGCAGGAAGCAATTGCGTGGGAAGTTTGAGAGATGCTCAAAGTAGGTATTACAAAGGTGTCTCAAAGTAATTGGTACAGCCCTGTTGTACTGGTGCCCAAACCTGACGGGACAATCCATTTCTGTCTTGATTTCCATTGGGTTAAATAATGCTATTTCCGATCTGGATGCATACTTCATGACACACAGACAAGTTATTAGATTAGCTAGGGAAGGCTAAATATTTAACAATGTCAGACTTAGAGTTGAAGTGTGGAGATGAAAGGGGGAAGGTAGCTTTCTAATCAATGTACTTTAGGGTACACTGTGTTATCAGATTTTTTGCCAAACACAGGCCACGTAAAACCTCGGTCGACAGATCCTTTCAAAACAACAAGCACATTTACCAGTGAGTGAGAACGGACGATACACAGAATTCCACCCTCCAGCCTTCTCTAAAACTGATGCTTTGTGTTTTCTCCTTTTATATTTAGTAGGAGTTCATTTTCAGCAGAGAGAGGTTGAGATTTTTGTTGACTTGCTGCCAACAAAGTCAAATGTGACTTAAAGTCACGAGGCTTCCCATAAACATAGTTGAAAGATGAGCATTTGCTTTTGTTGTGAACCAATGTAATTAAAGTAATATTTTACAATGTTCAAGCATTCAGTAAATAGCAGCTTTAAAGCCAATACCCCATATAGAAGGACAGTCTCACAGGGGGAGGAGCCCCTTATTAAAAAGAGAATTACAAAGAGCATGTATGTTAGGTTGCTTATGCAAGGCAGGGTTCTTCTGAGGGAGGAGAAAGGTGGGGAAAAAATTAAGCCATTTTAAACTCCTTATATCCAAGGCAGCCCCCTGCTTGACCAGGCATATCCCTATTTCACATCAAGCTTGCAAGATAAGAAATCCAACTGGGAAAAACAAAACAGTCCTATAGAAGAAAGTTCTCTGGCATTCTCACCCTTGCTGGACCCCTCTGCCCTTAATCTTATGGACAGCTTCCGTAATAAACAAAGGTTGATATTGTTTTCTATAAACCCAGCTCTCTTTCGAAAGCTCATTCTAAACACACTTTTTGTAAATAATGCTTAAAATCTAAACTAAAAATAATTCAGGAGCAAAAGACTAGGATTTGTTACTAGTATATTTGCTAGGCATTTCTGTCCCCCTGCTTGACACATATGGGACTGTTCCGACCAATGTTGTTCTCTGAAGCTATCCATATTCAATTCTACATAAAATTCTGGGTTTGTTGGACACTGGAGCATACCATGGAGATGAAACTGGTGGCTGCAATACACAGAACTAATTATTCTTGTAATTTTCCTGAGAGATTAATATTAAAGAGGCATCAACAGTGGAAAAATTAAAGCAGAAGATACAATAGGCTCCAATTTCTGTTCTGGTGTTTGGAAAAACTCCAGTTGTTAGTAGTCTGTGTCTTTTGGGTGGTTTTTTTTCTAGTTCAATGTAGCAATGGGTCTGTTATCATTCAGTAGATTTCTGTGTGAAGAGTGTTCATCTGCAGAGCATCTGACAATGGCATGTTTTGCAGGAGCAGTACAGATAGATTTATGGCCCCAATAACATGTTGTAAACCAGGTTCTTCCATTTGCTGCAGTTATTGTTTGGGCATAGCAAAGTCCCAAGCTGTCTCCTGTGCGCATTTCCACATTGCCCTCATGAGTCGTGTAAATCCCATGTCTTTGGGCTTCTCCAAACCTCTCATAAGTCGCTGCTTCATAATGGCAACAAACTCCTTATTACTCAACTCTCCATTCCCTAAGGGAAGAGGGAAAAAAAATGTTCATTAACTTGAAAGTACAAAAATAAAAGGCCCAGAAATCTTTGGAGGGCAGTACCAAAAGCTTGGTTTCCTTTAGAGAAGAAAAAGAGACTGGTTCATGTTTTGCTTTAGTCTCCTGACAGGTCAGGCCATGAAAAGTGCTGGTAGCAATGTACAAATTTTACGTTATATTTGAAGTTAAAGTTTCTGATTAAAACAAACACTTCGGAGTTTCCTGCTGACAGCCACTGTATGGCTGGTGTCACAATAGCGCTGCTTTTCAGCACGATGGCACCTCCCAGCAGGAAGCTTGGAAATAGCAAATTGTAAATTAACTCCAATTTCATATGCAATTCACATTTTACAAAATGTGAAAAATGCTTCTCCCCATGGGATCATTTCAGGACAATCTGCTGAGCAAAATGATTGCAGGTTTAATTTTGACAGTATTATTATATCACCAATTACAATTCTGCATCCTTTCTGGACAAGGCCCAATTACTAATTGAAACTAATTGATTGCTGTTATCAAAATGTTTACTTTGTGATTCATTGCAGTCAGAAACTCTGTGACACAGTGGTCTTAAATGAAAACGCATGACAGGTTCAACGACTTATTTTCCAAAGACCCAACTATTGTCATAGCAATAAGGAAAATTTCATATTTTAGTCAGGTATTTAATGTTGACATAAGTGAGATTCAGAGGTGGCAAAAATCTTTGACACCGCAGTGCAGCCCCATCAGTGATCATTTACAATTTGGCAGATTTTTTTTTCACCTATGTCAAGCAGCATATGACAACATCTGACTGTTTCTTGGAGCAGCTAGTCCTGGAACCCGCAAGGGGAGAGGCAATTCTTGATATAGTCCTAACTGGCACACAGGATCTGGTCCAAGAGGTGAACCACTCAGTAATAGCGACCAGGATGTAATTAGATTTACCATTCTTGTAGGGAGAAAAATACCAAAGAAACCCACCACAGCAGCATTTAACTTCACAAGGGGAACTACACAAAAATGAGGAAGCTAGTTAAACAGAAATTAAAAGGAACAGTCACAAGAGAGAAATGCCTGCAAGCTGCATGGAAAAATTTTAAAATCACCATAATAAGAGGCTCAAATTAAATGTGTACCCCAAATAAGAAAAAAAATCAGTAAGAAGACTAAACAAAATGCCACCATTGCTAAATAACAGAGTACAAGAGGAGATTAGAGACAAAAAGACATTCTTTAAAAATTGGAAGTCAAATCCGACTGAGGAATATAGAAAGGAGCATAAACTCTGCCAAGTATAATTAGGCAGTCCAAAAAAGAATTTGAAGAGCAACTAGCAAAAGACAAAAACTAACAGCAAATTTGTTTTAAGTATATCAGAACCAGGATGCCTGCCAAACAGTGGGACCACTGGACTATGGAGGTACTACAGGAGCACTCAAGGAAGACTAGGCTGTTGTGGAGAAGCTAAATGAATCATTCGCATCAGTCTTCACTGCAGAGGATGTGAGGGAGATTCCCACCCCTGAGCCATTCTTTTTAGGTGACAAATCTGAGGAACTGTCCCAGACTGAAGTGTCAATAGATGAGGTTTTGGAACTAATTGATAAATTAAACAGCAATGAGTCATCAGGACCAGATGGTGACCCAAAAGTTGTGAAGGAACTCAAATATGAAATTGAAGAACTACTAACTGTGCTATATAACTTATTGCTTAAATCAGCCTCTGTACCAAATGACTGGCAGATAGCTAATGTGATGCTGATTTTTAAACAAGGTTCCAGAAGTGATCCTGGCAATTACAGGCCGGTAAGCCTAACTTCAGTACCAGGCAAACTGGTTGAAACTATAGTAAAGAACAGAATGATCAAACACATAGATGAACATGATATGTTGGGGGAGAAGTCAACATGTTTTTTGTAAAGGGAAATCATGCCTTATGAATCTATTAGAATCCTTTGAGGGTGTCAACAAACATGTGGACAAAGATATAGTGCATTTGGACTTTCAGAAAGCCTTTGGCAATGTCCCTCAACAAAGGCTCTTAAGCAAAGTAAGAAGTCATGGGATAAGAAAGAAGGTCCCTCTCATGGTTAAAAGACAGGAAATAGTCACTTTCACAGTGAGAGGGAGGTAAATAGTGGGATCTGTACTGGGACCTGTGCTGTTTAACATATTCGTAAATGATCTGGAAAAAGGGGTAAACAATGAGGTGGCAAAGTTTGCAGACAATACAAAATTACTCAAGATAGTTAAGTCCAAAGCTGACTGCGAAGAGTTACAAAGGGCTCTCTCTAAACTGCTATGTTAAGAGTTTGACTTAAACTGACTAACACAATGAAACCTTGGGTCCAATCTGCAACTCCAAACTCATCCTGCACTACTGAACCTAGATATTGCACCATACACAGAACTGGAACTTGGGATCTTAGATGGAAAAATGAACAGGGAGAAATCTACCAAGAGGGGAGACTTATCAAGGGAAATATGGCAGATACTCAAAAAAGAATAATCACAACAAAGCTGAATGTTTATAAAGTTAGAAGTGGAGCTGGGCGTATTGTGAACATGGAAACTTCTTGAGGGTACTTTTTTGTACTGAAATAAGTTAGAAAGTGTCACAGGTTTTGAAATAGATATTTTTTTTTAAAAACTTGCTAGACTTGGACTCATTTTGGCAAGTTTTATTCCACAGCTAATTTTTATGGGTAATTTATAATCCCTAGGATTTTTAATGAAAATACTGACAGACTCTGAAGGGACTATTCCCAATCAGATTCAGACACACAACATAATGCATTGCCTTTACATTCCAATTCATTGGAAGACATCAGGTCTCTGAAATCCCTGTCTAGTTTACTATCAATTTTGTAGGCATATGTTTGTTTCCCCAAGACCACTTGACAAGGAAAGAAGAAAGGATTCCTGACAGTTCTACGCCCAGTGCTTCTTCCTGCTTCGTGTCTGTCATTTAGACTCTTGCTTAAGAGACAACCTGTCTCTTCCTAATTGTATCGTTGCTACAGAGTTTGTCCCCTGCCCACTCTGCATGTAAATCAAGAAATACTCCAAGGAAGCAAAGCTTTCAGACCATCCTGATTTTAAAAGCTCTAGCAAACACTGTTTTTGTTTTAAATAATCTGGCCACAGATATTTCAACCGATTTCCTGTGTCTTTATTGGTGCACTGGGCAGAGGGGCCCAATAAAATCCATTGTGCAGGACATTATTAATTCAGACTGGTTTTAAGAGGCTTGAAAACTGAAGGCTTTTTGGAAATATAACTCTCTGAACAAAGCCCTCATGTTCTTTCTGCACTTTGTGTACATACATACAAGGAACTAGAAAACCCCCATAATTAAATTAAATTAAATTAGTGGAGATACCTTATCTCCTAGAACTGGAAGGGACCTTGAAAGGTCATTGAGTCCAGCCCCCTGCCTTCACTAGCAGGACCAAGTACTGATTTTTGCCCCAGATCCCTAAGTGGCCCCCTCAAGAATTGAGCTCACAACCCTGGGTTTAGCAGGCCAATGCTCAAACCACTGAGCTATCCCTCCCCCCCCTACATTATTCCTAAAAACAGGGTCTCATTGCTAACTTTATTTTCTGCTCTTTGTGCTGACTTAGAACAATCCTTTTCTCTATCTGCAGTCCACTTCTTAATCCAGTATTGCCATCTTTAGCTTCTATGTTATCTGACAGAAAAGCAACCACATAACTACTTCCAATCTGAAACTGTGGAGTCTCATTTAAGACCACAAATGTATCCTTTTCTCAGCACTCCCTCCCCCATCACTCACCCACCATCAGGACTTGCTACCATGTTAAAAAAAAATGTCAGCAGTTTCATTCCTTAAGCCATATTTAGAAAAGTCTGTATACACAGGCTAAACGAAACTAAAGAGATCTGTGTCTGCTTTTATGCTATGTTCCTATCTTTGAAGAGATTTCTCTAACAGAACAGTCTTTTCCTCTAAAGATTTGGTATCAAAACATTCAACAGAATCTCCTCGGAGAGTATGCAAATGGAGAGCATTTGGATACATTTCAATTCACTCTAATTACAGATCGAAATATCTGGCTTGCAGATTCCAATCAGGAATCGCTATCAGAGCCAGCTCTGGCTTTTTTGCCTTGGGCGGCAAAAAAGCCTCCGGCCGCCCCCCCTCCCCCCGCGGGGCGGGGGGGGCGGCCGGAGCCCCGGGGCGAGGGCAGCGAGCCCCGGCAGGGGCTCCGCTCTCCCCCCGGCGGCCGGGGGCAGGGCACCGGGGGGGAGGGCGGCCGG